TAAAATATCCAGAGCTCTCAATCTCTTTTCTTTTGTAAGAACCAGAAGTTTACTTTTAAACTCCCTACATGAAAGGCTTTTTTATCACTATGAAAAAGTCTTTCCATTAACATGAAAAAGTCAGTTATGAGGGGAAATAATGAAGACAAAATTAAACAAAGGAATATTTAGACAGAACTGAAGTTAACTTTTCTAATACTGTAGTCTGGCTAAAGTTTCTGGAAGGAAAAAACAATTTCCTTTACACAGTACAGCTCATTATATTAGACAGTTTTAAGTAGATTCAACAGAAACCTAGAACAAAAAATCCATTTTGCAGCAGGAAACAAATTATTGAAATCTTCCCTACTCCAGTGCTACATTTAAAGATAATAAAATGTTCAGATTTATTCAGTTTCATCCACAAAGGCTATCAAAGTAGACATTTAAAGTTTAAAACAAGAAAACCTTTCTGAAAATATACATCATTTATACCTCTAGCAGAAATTTGTGTTGTAAAGACAGGGAAGGACATGGAAGAAGAAATCTTGATTCATTAGAAACAAAGGACTTGTTGCAGATCCCCACTAAAATCACAGCCTGAAAACTGGTCCAGTTGCATTATTCCTCACTAACAGACTTTCTTCCCCACGTTTAACAGCAATAATATTTTCATTCCACATGTTCAGTTGCAATAGTATTTTCATAACATCAAAATTTCTGGGTAAGTTTAAATGATTACTCACTGAATCAGCATTTATCAGAATTATGTGATTTGAAAGAAGAGAGAAAAAACATGTAACTGCGGACAAAGCAACACTTCATGAAAAGAAAAAAATAGATAAGAACTGCAAAGAACCTGCTGCAAATCAAATCCACCATGACATGAATTTTTTCACACTGCAGAAGCAGCATCTTAATTAATTTAATAGAGCTGGCAATGAAGTATTGTCTACATTAACAGCATCCTTTAACACAGTTATGAATTCCTAAGACAGGAGTTCAAAGCATATACCTCTGATTCTCAAGAGGTTGTTTTTTTCCTTTGGTTTTCAACACAAATATAAAAAATGACACCAGCAATAAAATATAACACTAAAAGGGATAATAGGTAACGACTGAAAACTCATGGGAAAGATGTAATCTTCTGTTATAAGGCATACAACAAGCAATTCAAATAGTAAGGCTTTTTTTTTTTTTTTTTTTCTTTTTTACAACTACTGATATATGATACCAGGATATCCATTATTAATGCTGGCAGTATAAAAAAATAAATGAGAAACACATAGAAGCTGGAAGAAAAGAATCAATGCTGACATTAATATAAGGGGTTTTTTTTTTTGAAAAAAAAATCAAGAAATAATGATAGTAGCAAGCATCTATACAGGAGTTTATCTTTGGTTCTACTTCATAAAGAAGAAAGTTTTCTGTCAATAACATCACCTTTAAACATAAAGATGTTTTATGCCTTTTCCTCCCTTTAGTAGAAACAAATACTGACAAAGAGCATGGAACAATATTTGGCACAGTCACTTTTAATGATCAACTCATTCATCAATAGATTTAAATCACTCTTTTCCTTTAGTAGACAAGAGCACTAAGGTTTGTTGGGCACTGCAGCAATAACAGACGTGGAGTATGGTCACATAATCAGTGAAAAGACAACAGAAATTAATTCATGTCTCATAATAACTTTTTTACTTGAGAAATGTTAATTATAGGAAAAATCATTAATGGCCTTATTTACAGAGAGTGAATACCAGCATCAAACAAACCCAGTTTACCAATGACACTCTGTCAACAAATGGTGATTCACCAACTGAGCAAGTGAATTAACAATCCTTTTCCTTACAAATAACAGTAGACAAAAATATAACTTGGCAGTATTTCCCTCTTGTTAATGTGGACATTAATTAGAATAGTTATATTAAAAAGATTTGAATTAAATATGTCAAGGTCTCAGAACTGCTTGAATTCCTCTTTGCTTAATTAATCCAAATATTTAAATTAGCTTCTCCATGTAATTTGGTGTTTCAACCAGAATCCCACTGAATCCCACAGACAGGCATATAAAATTACTATTTGCAGATTGCTTATGTAGCTCCCTTTTGAAACCTGCAGCTAATATGAAGATGTACTCCCTCTATGCAAAACATCTTTAAGAAACATGGTCTCTGCTAATTAGCCAAGCACTTATCCTGTTCTCTAACCGGCCACCAGATCGCACACTGTAGACAACTTAGTAGGTTTGTGATTCTTCTTTTCAGTGCTAAGTTTAAAATATTCAGACAAACTACATTTCAGCTAAAACTTCTTCTCTCCCTTCCCCAGAAATTAAGGGGGAAAGATGTATTGGAAGGTTCTGTGATTAGCAACCGTCCAAAATTTTATTTTTACTTGAGTTCTCCTTCACAGGACAAACTACAGTTTTTTGTTGTTTTCCCTAGAATCCTATAACTTATCCTCTATAGGCTTTTGTAACAAGTATTAATTTTCCTTAGGAATGTATTCTCCCTCTGTTTTACTGAGATGGAGTGTCCATGATTTTAGCACAACAGTGAGCACTGTCCTTAGGGCAAATGGTGAAATTTTATTCTCCTTTTCCTCAAAACAGTGTTGTAACACTGTTTAGCAGTAGAAAAATATCCATGTAGATACATATCCATGCATCCACAAATTATGGAAAATTTCTATCTGACTAAACAAGAAAGGCTATTTTCTCTCTTAGTTTTAAAATTGATGGATATTATTAACTCTAAATTCTTGTTTCACCTTTTTTCCCCTGTTCTAACATAATTTCAGAGAACTATTCCTTCAAATTAAAATTATCCTTGTCTCCCACTGGAATTTTAAGCTCTTTTTTGCAACCTGCACCCGTTAACAAGAATCTCATGCGAACAGACTCACAATTTCTTCAAGATGAAATGAGCTCCAAACAGCCACATCTTACCTCATTTGCACTATCATAATTTTGAGGTAATCTGTAATTACATTGTCTTCTTGGCAAGTGCTGGAAGCAATATCAATATTCTTTATAAGCAGATCAGTCTTCCAGAAAAAAAAGTCTTCTAGACATGTGGCAAATTGTGAGCACCCGTGGGAACAAATGGAGATCTGTGCTGGGCTGTTCCATCACTGTCAATAGACTTGACATGATTTCAGAAATCCAGCCAGCATTGGGAGGCCATAATTCCTACAAATCTTTTTAATGTCACAAACCGTATGACAGATGCATTAATTACAAATAATAATAATATCCTACAGAAAGTAAACCCATACACATTGCCTCACATGCCTTTTATCCTTTACTTTTTTAATTGGGATTCAGCGTAAAAACATGCACAGTGGATGCATTCTCAGTATTAAAGAATCAGAAGTGAGATGGAAGGTGTTAACTGGAACCAAAAAGTATTAAGTTCTAGTCATGTTTTATTGACTGTCACCTAATTAAGAGGTGCAAGGCAGGACTGCTAAGGGATGCTGTGTCCATACTGCTGAACAAGATACAATGGCTATTACAAGAATTACGGAATATTAACAGCACACCAAAACGCACCACAGAAATACAGTGGAAGTAAAAAAAAAAGGGATTTCCTTTGCTTTCTCTCCAAAACAGAGGGCACGAAGGTAATGATCATATTAACATAGCATTTATTAGAATGAAAGAGTTGAATCTTAATAAAGGGATAAATAGATAATAAGGAGTTTGCTGCACAGTTTAGTTTTCAGATTACTGCCACGGGTTCTGTTGTGAAGTCAAAGAAATAAAATGAGAAAAAACTCAAACAGCTCAAGGACTTCGTGTAATAAATTTACCCCCTTAAATGGCAAACACTTGTTTTAATGGAGATAGGGCTGCAAACACCAACAGGTTAGCAAAAGGCTAGCAACCTTTCAGGATAGTGTTTTTTGAGAACACAATAGCTAAAACTGATAATAAAATTTGAATTGATACATCCATAACACCTGCAGACTGACATATACAGCATTATAAATTATTTTGCACAAATAGAAGTGTTTTTTTCCTCCTGAGATGATGTTGCATCACATTTTTCTCAATACTTACACAGAATAAACCAGATTCTTTCCATGAGGAATTTAACACCTGAATCACTGGACAGGAGAAGTGGTCAAAACATTGCTAAGAAGCAATTTACTGAAATAACTTTACTAAGTTAGTTGCCAAGCCAGACCACTCTTACACTGAGTTTAATTCAAGATGCTACTTTGAGGAGTGTTTAGTACCAAATGCTTCAGAGGCAAGTCAAAGAGACATCAGAACAACCTAATGAGTATTAGCTCGGCAAACATGGAAAAACATCTAAAACCCATAATTTATGAAAGTCAAATTGAGCTCCATTTTATGCATATCACTTTAACCTGGTTTGTCATTTAGTATGAGCCTTACAGTGTTTTTAATTTATGGAGAGAATTAATAAATTCAGCAACCTCAGAAACAGCGATAAGGCCATTAGTTCAAAGCCTACGTGCACTCAGACCAGTGTAACTGTGGAATATTCTGACTCCAGATTGACCACAAAGGCATCACTGAGCACTGAACCTGACATTCTTACTTTAGACAGCATTTATTATAGTAAAAGTCACACTCTCCCTGTGTGTCATGTTACATCTGCTAAATATACAGGTTTAAATGCAAATTGAGAAACAGTCTGGAAAGATCTGATTAGGAAGAGAAAAACGTGCTTTGTGTTAAAGAATAAAAAATACGTTACTTTAAAGCTGTCAAAAAGTAAAAAAAGCTGTAGGGCAAGCAAGTATGGTGAGACCTGATATAACAAGCAGGTGACACAAGTTATCCTTTCCAACCTCTTAATACGTTATTTTTTTAAATAAAATTTAACCTGCTGACTTAGTGAAAACAAGTTAAGGTGTATTTGTGAGGTTAAGATTCCTTAACAAAACATCCTCCACCTGTAGTCATGCAAAAGAAACTGTTATCAAGGGGGTCAACCATGTTACCTCCTAAACCACGTGTGAAACCAAATATTTTATTTCTATACCTCTGCTGCCAGTTGCTGAAGAGAAGGGGATGCAACAGGGTGTAAAGTTGAGTTGCCTCTGACCGGATTATGAAGGCTAACATAAGCCACAACGTTTCTTTGAAGAACTCTCTTGAGATCCTACAATACAAGCAGAGCAGTGGTTACTACTGTGCATCATTAGAATTGAGGCTTGTTTTGTTCTTTCAGTTCCTTCTAGGGAAAAACTGCACCCAATGTTTCTGTCCTCTGCAATTTCCTAAGTAATACTTAACTACTACTTCTTATAATATGCTGTTATGAACTTCAAAGGATATCTTAGTGCTATTTCTCTATACAGCAGAAGTTATAATTCCATTTCACACATGATCTCAACCAAATGCAAACAGGTCTGGGAGGAATTAAAAATGACTACACTTGTAAGGCCAAAAATGAAAACATTACACCCTGTGAAACAATGTGATGGCCTTTTAAAGTTATGCCTGACAGAAGACAAACTTCAAAAGCAATCATTATCAACAGTTAAATGGACTCAAATTTTTAAGAGACCACATTCATATTTGAATTGCATAACTTTCTCAGTGTTTTCATTTTATTATTTTTTTAGACTATAAAAATACCATGTACAAACTGTTTCAATTATTATCTCTTTTTTAAAAAGATCCCCTTTGCCTTCTCAGTAATGAGTTCCTCTTTGCATGAAGTGGCTCTTTATATCGAACAGAAGGGGTGTAACGCAATTACATCTGATGTAAAGCTGACTTGAAGTGGAACTAAACAAATTTTGCTTCCAGCCTGGATCTTTTCAATTTGATTTTTTCACCCCCTCTTGTTTTTGAAGAATAATGATGTCAGAAATATGAAATTTCAATGAGGGCTGGCTGCTTCTTACACACGATAAAAAGCAATTAACTCTTTATTTTATCTGCTGTTTTAATTCATAAAACCATAGAACCATTAATGTTGGAAAATCAGCCATGAAACTCTCTGCCAGCTATTCCTCTAATTTATGAACTCCACTGTAACTATATATGATCATCCATACCCTGTTGAGGTATTTTCTGTCAGTAAGCTGATTTCTATTCTGTTGGAAGTAAGAGCCCGAGGAATTGCCTGCATTTTTTTACCTAACTCCTTAGCACAAATATGTGAGAAGTGAATCAGCATGGAGTGCCATGGAGGCACTGCAATGTTTATGTCATTAATGTAAACCTGGTTCTCTCCTTTTCATTTAGTGTGCTCTTGATTCACTTCTCCCCACACTAAGTTTACAATTAAACATGAGTAAATGTTGAACTCCCAAGAAAGACAAAAAGCTCTCTAAGCTATTCCTTGGTCTATGTAATTTTTTGAGGTTTTTCTCCCTCTACCAGACCCTGGCAATGACCTTTTACAATGCTATGCTGAATTAGGGAGGGAAATCAGCTCTCAAAGGTGCTGTATGTGCAACCCTCACAGCTATGGAAACATCTTGCCATCTCATTATCCACAGGAACAGCCTCAAAAGGTGTTTTCACTGCATTTGCTATGTAGTACATGAATGAACACAGACAGACCTCACAGACCAGCTAATGAACCACGATTTCCATGCAGTAATTGCATATTGTTTTCATGCTTTCAACAAAAGTAATTGTGATTGCAATGGCACCCTCTAAAATTACTTTACCTCAGCCCACTCATATGAACCAACGTTCCCAAATGCTGTTCCTCCCCATGAGCAGAAAACAACAGTCCTGTCAGGTCTCCAGCCCCTCTTAGCCTTCAGTGTCAAGGCCTGGATCAGTGCTGTGATGACAGCAGTGCCACTGGCCCATCCTTGTCCACCATAAGGGTTCAAGCTGCTGTGATGGCTCCCGATGATGACGTATCTGTCTGGAATGGGAAAAAAAAAAAAAAAAAGGACAGACAAAATCTTTACTTCTTCTGGATCCCAGCATTAAAAGAATTCTAAACAGCCCCAAAAAAATGAACTGTTAGTGGTCTGTAATGTCATTAGTACAACACAAAGTTGTCAACAAAAATGTATATGATCATGTGCAAGACATTCATACAAAATATATACATAAAGCTGTGAGTATGACTTAAAAATGAGCTAGTAAATAAATATATGTATATCCTTTCCTAATTAAACCTCCGTGCACTTGCCTTCATTGTCTGTTTATTGCTCTCCTTATAAGTCTGATATTCACCATTTTTCACAGCAGGACTTTGTCACAGAGACAATCTAATGTTTCCATGCTCACATTAGAGTGTTATGAAAATACAAAAATAAGTAGGAAACTGTCTTCAGTACACATTAGCATCCAAAAAAGAAAACAAAAGGTGTGGTAGTACAAGAAGAAACATAAATAAAACACACAAAGTATTAGTACTCCCTCACCTGGAAGACTCTGTTCAGTGCTCACCACCCTGTCTCAAAAAAGACATGGCAGAAACAGCAGTTGAGCAGCTGGTAACCAGCACGGTTATAGATCAGGACTTAGACTTCCATGTAAGGAGACATTAAAATACCTGGACTGCAGGTTTAGAGAGGAGACATGACAGAGGAATAGAGATAATGAATGATACAGAAACGGCAAGTCAGACCTAGCAGCTTTGTTAATGCTGGGAGAAAGTATTTTATAGAATGAAAAGCAAGAACTTTCAACCTGAAATAAAGAACACACCTATGGTTACCCAGAGGAAAAAAACAAAATCCACACTTTTCTTTCAGAGAAATATCATTAAATCTTCATCTCCCAAGGCTTTATATATAATCCATATACCAGTCACAAAAGGAAAAAAACTCCTTATTTTACTCAAAAAACGATGATGTGGTATGAAATAGCATGAATGACTAGTGTGACTGAGCCCTGTCAAAGAAGTCAAAGTTGAGTTATGCTGAATGACTTATTAAACTACTAGACCTTCTGTGTGAGATGAATTCACAACCAAAGCCTCTTTTAAGACTGCTCACTGATTTAGTTCTGATATTTAGTAGTCTCTTTCTGGTCAAAATCTAGACTTTTAAAGGTTTCTTTCCATCTTTCAGGATACCAACAGAGAACAGAAGAATAGATATCAAGTGATGCCAGATCCACAACAGTCTCTGGGTGTTGTTTGGGTTCCAAAAAGTGCAAAAAGATTTGGTATCTTTTCTTTATCCATGGGGATTCACTTTGCACTTGCTGTCAGTATACCAGAACATTGCAACACATAGGTGGTAAAATGCCAACATTTTATATTTGCTTATAAAATTATATATCTACTCCTCAGTAATTTTTACAGTGACTGTTGCCTAGAAACAATTTTAACAGAACACCAACATACTTTGATTATAAGCCCATTCCCTACTAAACTGGACTTATATCAGCTCAACAAAATACACGGGCATGTTTTTTTTATATGGAAACAAAAATGCTTTACAAACAGGGGATTTGTTATGTACCTATAATACAACATTTTTAATCAATTGCTTTGGGAGTGTGTAGGTATGTAAATGAGAATTTCTTTCTAAAAATAGATATGCAAAGTGTAAATCTAAGTGTACATAATAATTTAATGTAACAAAATGCAATCTAAATCACATAATTTTGCTACTTGTGTGCTGCACCATGAATTGCTTAATTATAGGTTGCACTAACAATGAAAAACCATAGGATCTTCAACTCACTTAATGAAAGGAATTTGGAACACAAATTAACGGCCTTATGGGCTTCTAGGTCATTACAAGAAGTGCCACTAACACAGAGGGATCAGACAGGATCAACACTTACTTCATATTATGTAAAGGGGGAAGTGAAGAGACATTATTAAAATAAAATATTTTGATGGAGCAGAAGCTACAAGCAGCAGCTTACTGTAGAGATGCCAGCTGAGTGAGCAGGGGCAAAACATAACAGCTGGTGTCTCCTTTGGAATTCTTTATCTCTGCACATCTTTCCCTCCTGAATAGAGGCAATACCCTGAAGCAAACAAATACAGGAAAAGCAGAGGAGAAAGGATGGTCATGCTTGCAAAGGCAGCAGCTGCCCTTTCTCAGAATCACATGGTAAGAAAAAAGAGAAAGAAGTAGAGATACAGAAAAAAATACCCATTAGATACTTTTGGAGGTGAAAGGAAGGGTAGTGTTCAGGGTAGTGATGGGCTGGACAAGTCCCTTTATGCTGTCTTCTCTTGTTATACATCCCCTTTTCAACCATGTCCAACATAGCTATAAAATCTGTTACATTTTTCAGGTTTTAAACTGCTATCACCTACAGGACAAGCTGTTGCCCTCTGGGTAGTGCTATTGACTTCACTTGATTATATATCCTTACATTCTTAAAGTTCAGCATATATTGAACAAAACGTTAAAAAATAGCTTTTTAATAAGACTGCAATAAAAAGATGAAAGATTCAGGTAGAGAGAAGATAAAGGATTTATTAAACATAAACTGATGCATGCTTTTTATTAGTTGGCTTGCTTCTCTTTCCCAATTCAGTAGAAAAAAATGTCTAAACAATACAGTTTCTACCCTTCAAAGTCCATGACAGCTATTTGCAAAACATTAGCAACAGTAGACTGGTAGCTTCAAACTAATGAAGGAAATTAAATCCTTTGTTGAAATTAAATTCACTGTGCTAATTGTTTTCTATGTTGTTTCAAAAAAAAAAATATTCTGGTGAGAAGTATTCACTGGTGAATTCACAGTATTCTGGTGAGAAGCATTCAGCACACACAAAACTGAGTTATTTCACTAAAAGGAGTAACCATTTTCTCCTCCCCCTTCTCTATTACTTAAAATGTGAAATGACTGGCCCACCTCCTAAAGGGACTGTAAATAAATTTGCATCCTTTCCTCTGAACCTGATGAAAGAGTATTACAGCAAGTGTGATGATGTTCTGATGACGATCATCCGTACACCAGGAACTGGACCAACTCCGCAATGCTTTGCAGTGTGTAAGTAACCAGCACTTAAGTAACAGCGTTCATTCGTGTTGCAGAAACCCTTCACTCCTTAGGTAAATTCACTTACAGATAGAATAATCTCATTCTTATGATATCTTCATAAAATCTTCATTCTTACAATATCCTGATTATCACATTATCCATGTACAGCATTAAAGGAGGGAGGGGGTCTGTGCTTTATGTCCCAGTTGCATTTAGAATCTTATTTTTTAATTATTAGACATAGAGAACAGTAATTATTATTCATAGAATTGTAAGAAACTAGCTTAAGGCATAACTGTAACACAATGTAAGGCTGTAGCAAGTGTTAAAACCATATTAAAATTAAAACCATAACATAGTTACTTGGTATAAACTACTAACACTCTATAGTCCATGTGTAATGCCTGATGCTCATGTAAAAATATGTTTATTGTAATTACAATCCCCTTGAGCTCTTTCTCTCTTTAACCCTTATGTTCTGTTTTGTCATAAATCAAATCACAAAATAACTACAATAAAGGATCTCTTCTTCCACTGTATTATCTGGCAAAATAGAATCCTGATCCCACCTGAGGCTCCCAGTCATCATGAAATAAATAATTTATACAAATGATAAAGGAATACTTACCAGGAAATACAGCTCCTTTTAAATATCCAATAACATTAGAAATCGTCTTGTAAGTTGTGACTGACTGAATATTCAGACTGATTATTTTTTTGCCTGTTAAAAGATTTAAATAAAAAAGAAAAAGAGTTTAACTTGTTTATCTAGCCAAGAAATCTACAGAACACAGACATAAATTCTGCACACATTAAAAAAGGTTAAAAAAATTTTTAAAAATTAAAAAAAATTATAACAAAGGGGAACCAGAGATAAAAAAATGTAGTTTTACATTATTTTATTTTTTTAGACCTATTTTAGCAGTGTGCTTCAAAGCTGAAATCTCAAAAGAGATCTCTACTCCTTGAGTTAAAAGATCATTGAATTTGCTCAATAAATGCTGCCAGAATACAGCAGAAAAAAAAAAAATCAAAACCAAAACCAACAAACAAAAAAACAGCAAACCAAAACCAAACCAAACCAAACAAAATTGAAAACTTAAACAAGTGGGATTTACCTATTTCTGTAATGCGAAATTTGTGTTAATCTTTATAGGTTTTTCTCACCTGATCCTTCACCCAGCTCAATCTATCAATAACATTCACAAAATTGTACTTGGTTTCTATTACACTTTCTTCTGGAGAAACACTCCTATGTTAAATCAGATGGGAACAGTCAGACCTCTCCATTACTACTCACTTTGCCAGCACAGCCTTTGGTGATACACTTCTGAACTCCTGCCAGCAGAAGTCAGTTTTTTTGGCTTAGCCGGTATCAGCTGAGGAAACGTGTAAAAATGTGAGGAAATAGTGTAAATACAAAGGCAGGAAAATTTTAAAACCTGATAAAACGTAAGGGACTTGCCAGTACTGCTCAGCCAGTTGAGACTGTGACACAGAATAAAGCCAGGAAAAAGTAAATGTCTGAGTTAAAATAGCTTTAAAAAAAAATTAAGAGTCCTCTGCCCTGCAGTGGGACAGAGTAACCACACATACTCCCGCAGTTTGTGACAATAGAAACCAAACAACTAAGTCAGGGGAGCTGCTGGCACCTTCCAAATGTTTCGTTTGCATTATAATAGACTGTATTCACACTCATCTCACCTGAAAGGTCATAACTTCTATCTGAGAAAAATGAAAATGTCTTAAGCTGCTCTAACTTCAAAGGTAGCAATTGTGTGACAGTAACCACTGTGTCACCCCAGACCTTCAGGGAGGGTCTCTTCCATCCAAGTGCCCACCACCCCCCTGTGTTTAAAGACATCTTCCTTCCATGTCCGTACCCCAACTGTCACACACCTAAATTAATATATTCCACTGGTCATTTTGCTCTCTATCTCCCAGGCTATTATTCTCCCACAGATCTATTCCTGACAATTTATTCCCAGGCTTTGCTTCCTGAGATATGGAAAGCATACAAGTGGGGAGTTTACTGCAACATGTAAAATAATCATCATTATGATACTGTTCTTCAATGTTCATTTGCTGATACTTCATGTTTACTTGAAAATTCTCTTAAAATAAAATCTAATATATTTTAATTCATAAGTATTCGTTTACCATTGGAAAAAGCAAACCAACTGCAAAGATCTTTGCTGTAAAAAAATGTACCAGCAATATTTATTTTGTTTTTCACTCAGGCAAGACCTCCTCTGTTATCAAAAGATGTCTTCTGTTTTTGCTTCAATACAACAGGAAAGGAAATGCAAGTCAAGCAAGTAATCAAAAATAAACCACAGCACATGATTTTGCAATAATCAATCACAGCAAGTTAATTTTGATTTGTCATGTAATTAACTTTGCCCTTCTGACGTAAATTACTGTAAGGTTTATTAACACCATGTGATGATGAATCATTTTTGTTCTATAAACCCACAGATAATATTTTAGAATTTTTAAAAAGCACTTAATAAAAAAAAAAAAAAAATCCAAAGGGTTCCCAAAGGGTCTTTCAGAAAAATGTGAGAAGAGCCCAGATCATCCATGTTGATTAAGCAGTTTAAATTTAATCTAAACTATGCAACTTACATCTTGCTGTTGATTCTCACCTACAACCATTCTAGAGCCAATTTACTCTTGAAAAATGGTCTTAAATTGAAAACTGATTTCCTTTCCTTTTCTTAAAACACTTTAGATACTTGTTTCTTTAGGTCTCACTTTAGAAAAAAAAAAAAAGATTAATTCTTTCAAGACAACCAACCTCACTATTTTTCCTTAATTGACATCAGCTATCCAGTCTTCAACCAACAATGAAGAAATAGAAAATTAACTTCTGGCAATACACCATATTCTAGAATCAGATATTTGAGTTAATAGTCATGTAACACAGTAGTCAGCTTAAAGTGACTTCGGCTTAAGGGCTTAGTACAACACATGAAAAGGCTGAAAGTACTCTTTAAAGTACACAGCAGAAGTGAAATTTAATCCCTTTAAACAGTTCTGACAACAAACCTCTCTTCCTTATGCTATAATTTAAGGAGCTTGACAACTTTCTCTTTTTTTTTCCTCTGTATTCTTTGGAAAACTAAGAGGAGACTTTAGCTTAACATGAGTCAGGATGCACTTTGATTTTATGTAAGCCAAAAGCTACTTCTGAAATAGAAGAAGAGAAATGTATTTATTTTTACTTTTAATTTCTTTCTTTTGTGATTTTGTAACTGTAAAATTTCTCATACCAAATGACTACCTTCTCCTCTCCCATTTTCACAGTTATTTTTAGAAAAGCATGGCTATTTCCTATTCATTTGACTGACAATTTTAGTAATCCAGGTGAGCAAAAAAATTCTACTTGCAGTAGTCATGTTAAAACACACCCTGAGATATGTTTTTGTTTCTTTTTTTGTTGTTGTTTTTCACCTCATCCCAAGCTCATACAAACAAAGAGGAGTATAATTATGAGCCTCATTTTCAAACACGTTGGTTAAATTCTTCAATCCTGATCATGCTTAACACCTATAATCAGACAGTTTTCTGAGCATTGCTTTGAGTACTGGATTTTTAAAAGTATCAACTAAACTAACTCAAGCATTTTGAAAGCTCCTGGACCATAAAACCAGAAGTTATTTCAGAAGACTGCAGAAGGTGCACTGAATGTAATGCAGTTTTCAATATACTTCCTGTTGAAATCAACATAAACCACACCTGAATAAACAGACATCAGTCTGAAACCACAATTAAACTAAAGACTTCCAACTTCATCAAACATCCACGGCCATGTAACTTAGGGGGCACCAAATAAGCTGAAATAGTCAGGATAAAACTAAATTTGACAGATTTCTTGTTCCAGTCATTCAAAAACCTTACACCAGGCTTTAATAACTTGACATCTAACTTTTTGCCCACACATTACCAAGCTTTTCAGACACTCCTGAAGCCCAAGGATTCCATTAATAATGAAAGCAACAGCTTCCATTAAGTTATTTGTCCCAAGAGCAGAGGTTTTTAAATTAATATCAAACACCACAGAACATGATGGTAGAATAAGAACTACACTCAGTGTAGAAACACTGTAAGCTATTTACAACCATTATGTAACCAATATTCAAATATATCATAAATTTCCTATATTCTAGTGGTGATACTGTAAAAAATAACATGGCCTGATATGTAGTTTTTGGAAAATCCTGTTAATCACACAGGTATGACAAGTAAATATTAAAACATATATAACAGCAGATTTTACTATAGTTTGAAACAAATGCTTCATTTTCAGTAGACATTTTCTAGAATAATTGAGTAAAAATTCCAAACTACTACTACCATCTTAGACTGCCTAGTTAATGGGTTTTTAAAATCTCACTGAACTGTGAAAAACTCATTTAGTTAGTTCTCAGTGTTTCATCATGTCAATTTGAGTGCAAAACCTTATCTACTACATATTTTATGTCAGTTTTGTCAGATTTCAATTAAGTTCAAACACAGAACTCTAAATGAAATGTAATCATCACAAACATTTATGTAACATCAGAACTTACATATAAAAATGCTAAATGCAATGTAACGACATACTTAGAAAAGTGAATAAACACAAAATACTATATACCTAATAATTTAAATAATCTCTGAAAAAATATTGTGCAACACTATCAAATTGCATATGCAAAAATCAATACTGAATTTATGCAAGGTACAGTATTGTTGAATTATAAAATTACTAGTGCAGGAATCTGTCAAAGCTCCAGGACAGAAGTCCTGTAGCAAAGAGCCTTTAGTGATTGTGGGTTTTTTGTTTGTTTGTTTGTTTGTGGATTTTTTTGTTGTTGGGGGTTTTTTTTGTTTGGTTTGCGTTTTTTGTTTGTTTTTTTTTTTCCTTTCTTTATTGTTTGTGGGGGTTTTTTGTATAAGCAGTAAACCATCTAGATATACTCTCTTTGAAATCTGGTATCTGAAATATTTTTCTCTAATAGATTTCTACTTGATTAACCAACTGTGTTGCCTACTAACAATATATCCCCTTTTTAAAATAAATATTCATAGATCTTGAGTTTCCAAGCCAAATCTTAGTCTGCAGAGCTTAATGAATAAACTGTTTGCTACTTGATTATCTTTTCTGACCTACAATGAGGAATCCAGAAACAAAACTATTCAGATGAAGAGCTTCTGAAAATAAGCAATATCTAGAATAAAGTCCTTTAAGAAGGCTCTAAACTGGGATGGCCTAAACAGGATATAAAATAAATATGTCAAAGTTAGTATCAAAGAGAGGCTTCAGGTGGGAATAGAGAGAAGATACATAAGAAATGTTTCTCACTGTTCATGCTTAATTCATTCCATGAACTTAAGGAACAGAATTTAAAGCAATCATGAAAAAAAAAAATCTGAGATAAATGTCTGTAAATTTTCATATCCAGTACATCTGAATTAGATCAGACTTCTCTATTGAACATGTACTTTGAAATGCCAGTAGGAGATACCTGCAGAACACTGTTATATTCCTATTGTTATGTACAATGACTTCATATCTTGTAGATACACTAACATGCCCTGCCACACAGTATGCTGGCATCTTTCTCTATTTGTTGTCTTGGATTCACGGTTAGCACAGCCCAAGAACCTAGAAATTATGGGATTGTTTGTGAACTGGTATCAGAGTGTATGATGGCATGGCCAGAGTTTATTAAATGTGGTGCCCTTTTTTTTTCTCTGACAGGTAGCAAACTATGAAGGAGAAACACATATAACAAGAGCACAAGGCTGTAGCCTAATAGGAGGAGATATATACCCTTTCCATGCCCTTCCTCTGACTGAAAAGAAGACAGGCTTCATTTGCACTAGTGCATCACTTGGCAGGGAACTTTGTCTTGGATTATGGTCGTGTAATATGGAAACTACAGGACTCTTTCAATTAATTATTGCTTCTGTGTAATTAATGATTCAAATTTCACATGATCAGAGTTGACTAAAAACTCAGTCTAGGGAACACCTGACATGTGGAACTGTATAAAATAAATGATTAAAGTATTATAAAAATTATTCCTTATGTTATGCTACAAACCTTTTCAGTAACAGTCGCTTCTGGTTATCTGATTCACTCTCCTTTTTTGGAATAGAAGGAGGATTTGTTTGCAGCCTAAAATGCAGTCTTGGATTGCAGTCACTGTGATGATTCAGTATTGATCAATGACTGTATTTTGTAGGCTGAGAAAGGTTACAAAAGATTAAAAGATTCTACCTAAAAAGCATTTAGATCTGAGTAATTTTACTGGTTGTAGCAGAATCCTGTGAGTCTTTGTATACCTGGCTCTACTATTCGCTCAGTGTTTGATATCATTCAAGTTACTTAAACTATTCATGCTTTTGCTTTACTATTTTATAAGTTAAAATATAAAAATAAATTACACCTAGTTCACAGCAAAAGGGACGCAGAGCTTGTAAGAAATTGGATCTTCTTCTATGTATGTTAACTTCATTGGTATTTTTTGAAATAATTCACCCTTAATAATCTTGGTTGATCTAAACAAAGAGAGGAATAGCGTTGGATTTAAGCAATAGTTGGCTAAAGAAACTTAGGAGCCTTTAGGTGAGATCACTGCATGAGTGTATTAGGTCAGACCAGCTGCCCATCATCTCCAAGAGTGACCAACAACAAAAATGTGGAAAAAAATGGAAGAACAGGATGAGCTACAGACACCTGGACATTGATCAATAATGAAATCCTAGACCTCTCTCCTCTTCTGTCTTCTCTGATATGAATCAGATGAGTAGGAAAACTGACACTTAAAAGCAAAGAGAAAAATTACACACATATCACTTGTGTTTCTAGCCACCAGACTTTCAGGTTTTCCATTTAACAACAAAGTATTTGGTCACTGCTGGCAAAAAAAAAGACTTTTTAAATTAAATCCCACTAAACAGATTTAAATTAAATACTCAAGAGATTAATTGAAAAGGGATGATTTTCACCTGACTGAAATCTACCAACTGGCAGGTAACTTAACAAACAAGGACAGTTCAGTGCCAGTGCAACACAGCAGGACTCTCTTCATTTATGTTTATAGGAGCACTTTCGTTTTACAGCCACCTTCACAATGTTCTAACAAATATCCTAGTAGTATCCTATAAAAAAAGGAAAGCTTCGAAACTTTACAGCTTCTCTATAAAGCTTCACTTTTAAATTCCTTCTAATTGCCTACTTTGGAGAAAAAGTTCATGGATTCAGATTAATGAGGATTAACAACAATGTACCTTGCTATACAAAAAGCAAATCTAATTACTAACTTCATCTAACACAAAACTAATAACTAACTTCACTTCCCACTATTTGCTTCGCAGGCTCTGAGCAGTCGATCTATCTCAGATGTTTGTTTCCACATCCTCTCACTCACTCTGTCACATTCTGTCTCTCGAAAACTGCAAGGCTAAGGGGAAAAAGGGGCATTACGAGAAAACTATATATAAATGTTTAATCATTACTGATGAATCTGCTGTGCAGCTTTTTGAAACATACTGATGAGAGAATGACGATCATTTTATTCTAACAAATTCCAAGCCAGCCAATCATGTGAATTGCTCATTCACCTCTTTTGACAGATGAGTGATGAGTTCTGTGTCAGAAGTGAAATCTCTCTCTTAAGCCTCTTCAAATCAACAGGAAGACAGCAAATTCAACCTTTCACTGTTTTCAAATGCATTGCTCTCTTCAGTGTTATCTCTTTAGCTACTACTGTTATTAAATAGTTCTACACAATTTCCTATCATAAGACCAGTCTTTTATCTCTTCCATTAAGGCTGCTACTGAACACTTCAGCACACTATATGCTCCAGCACAACAACAGTTTCACCATTACTTCAAGGCAAAATATAACACATTGCAGAATTATACAAGGTTTCTTATTATAGTCCCCATTTTCTCAATAAATTAAGAGTTTTAAAAAAATCCAACGTGGATTACTGTGGTTCAGAACCTTTACAGGAAACCAGACACAAGCTGTTGTGTTCACCTAGAGTAAGCCAGACATGGACTGGCTCTTACTAGGCTTGGAATATTCTTTCCAACTGTTTTCTATCTCACAGAATACCTGTCTTCTCAGTAAAATAAAACAGACATGCCACACCTGTCACAGAAAAAGCGGAATAAGCCACCCTTTAGGTGATTCTGTCCTGCAGCCTCCACAAAGAGCTTTTTGAGGAACAGGCACTGTGAATGCTTTTATCCTTCTAAAATGAGTGTCATTTGCCAGGCCAAATTCATGCTTTCCTTCAGGCACTTCAGCTGTTTAAAATTCCAACAATACCAGCAAGCTTCACACATCCTACCTGGAACGGTTAAGCACTTGTTCCTTCCAAAATGGCCTTTTTCCCTTTTCTATTGGTTGTGGGGATGATCAGTTCATCTTTAAAATACCTAGTCAGCCATGCATGGAGAGCAATAGTCCTGCCTAACCACAGCAGCTTAAACCATGAAGCACGAGGTCTTCTGCCTTCCTGTTTAGTATGTATAACTACAAATGCTAACACAAGTCATAAAATTAATCAACCTTTTTTATGACTTGTTGTACTGTACTCCCATTCCACAATAAGCTTCCAAAAGCAATAAACAAGTGATACAGCACATATGTGATAGTACATTGGTTCCCCTTAAAATTAGCTTTTACTGTTGTCATCACTGCGTGCAGCACAGGATACAGTGGCTAACTTAATTTTCTTCCCCCCTTCCAAGACCACAGCTTCAAATCATTTCATTTAAACAGGCATTAAAAAAAAAAAACCACACCTTTTTTTCCATGCATTTTTTTTCTGGTGAAAGATGGACAGGTACAAGACAAAAGCGAAGACAGAATTACTGAACATTCACCTCATCTAGAACGTTCTCTGGAGGCTGTTCCTTCATTGAAACACTGTGCAGGATCTTTACTGGAAGACTGTATTCTTATTTTTCCCCACAACCAGCAATAAGTTTGTTCAAGCACTAATCTGTGTGACTTTGCTAATGGCATTATTTCTAAATAGATACTCTGAATGCATTCTTTCATTACATTTGTCTCTACTCAAGGTCTTTTGTTCTTGTCATCATGACCCTTTTCCCGGTAAAATCTGGAGAAAAAGGTGCCTGAAGGTTCAGATAACAATACACTGTTTATTCTATACCAGATACAAATTAAGGAATGCAGAGAGACATATCACTGTTTAGAATTACAGTATTATTGTACCAGAGACAGGGAAAAAAGCAACAGAATAATACTGTTCTGGTGCTTTAATGTTAAAGTCACATTCTTAGTAGTACAGTAAGTCCTAACAAACCATTAACAAAACCTACCTAGTGATGGTATCTGCACAGAGGAGATTTTAATTCAATATTAAGAATTAGTGCCTAATGTCTTATTTTAAGAGAATTATTTGGGTTTTTATAAACCAAAGCTTCCATCTGTCAGATTTTAGGAGCATAATTTTTACGCTGTTCATAGTTCCTTCTAAAAAGCAGCTAAGGAAAACACACTCATGACCAGCTAAACCTCTTAGTTGTACACAGTTATAGAAAATGGATTTGGAGTCCTTGAGGAACATTCCACAGTTAGAGGGAAAGTGTACTTAAAAAGCATTACCTGTAGGTGGCAGCTGGAGGGGTGTACATCTGTCTTTTTGGACACCGTCCTCAGGTAGGGAAACAAGTTTTCTGGCAAGCACTGCAGAAATTGGTTGCACTAACAGTGTTGTGAGGTTCAGTCGATTTTGCCTGTAGCTTCCATCTTAAACAACAGAAAGAGGAGGGCAACTTCGTAAACGAAAATCAGATTTCAATCCATCATAAACCAAACAAACCCCTCAAATATCTGTAACACAGCTTGAAACAGCTGACTTAGATGAGCAGCTGTTATTTGGTACTTACCTCATAGAAACAAAAAAAAAGCCTCTTCAAGAACATGTACCACAAAATTGCATGTACATATTACAGTATTTGGGCAATAGTTCCACAAAAAAGAAGCTGACAAAGAGCCCATGCAGATATTGGACTGCATGTGACTTAAATGCACTAAATTAAATCGGTGTGTACCCAAGGAAACATTGAAAAATACAATCACAAATCAGCAATAACTTTCAAATTCAAGTAAAAACTGAACACAGCCTTCCAGGGAAGAGCAGACAAACTGCCCGCAATCATCTGCAAGTATTCATCTGCATCGAACAATGTTACTACCAGTAAGGTTTTGTTTTGCCTACAGAAGTTGTGCTATTTAGCTCGCACTTTAAACAGTTTTAGTGCTATCACACAAACAAGCCTTTGTGAGAAATCTGACAAGACAAACACCAAAAATGAGGCATGTTGATAATACACTGGCAACTTGATGAGATGTGCTATCTTGCATATAACCAGAAAGCCTGAAAATTTTGATATAAACCAACCTCTTTGAAAGGCTACAATCTGGTCACCTCATTGACTCAAAGTGGGTTCAGTGCAGCTAGGGTGACTCTAACGTATTTTATAAATGCAGGAGTGTTCCTGTGATGGGAAAGTTGAAGGCTCAGATGAAGGAGGTCTGCAATAAGAGGGTACTACTAAACACACACACACATCAAGTGGAGTAAGGTATGGATCAGAAAGCAACTGAATACCTCATTTACAGCTTAAAGAACTTAAGAATTCATAGCAAAAACCTCTCAATATCAAGAGATTCGTGAAAATATTAAAATCTCCCTTCAACTGAAAAAAATGTCTCTCCAACATTTAATCATGGAAATGTTTCTGATGAGACAATGAGATATTCTGGGAGACCAATTGAAAGAACTGGCAAAAGAAAACAGGCCAATTCTGCACATGGAAATGCTCTGAAGCACTTCAGGACAAAACACCTGTTTTTCTCAGCTATTTCATCTGGCCTAATAGAGGTATCATCTCTTCCCATGGAAAGTGAGAACACTCTTGCAGACGAAAAGCCCACCACAAAAAAAGAGCAGAGGTTGATAGCCCAGGGCACAACACAGCTCCAGAACAACCTGCAACACTCTCAAAGCCTTCCAATATACCTGCCCCTACTGAATCATTCCCAGCATTCAACTAGAGATTCAGAATGCAAGGCCTCCCCCTGAGACCTCTTGGAAACAAACACCGTATTTTCTGTCGACACAGAGTTCTTTACTACCCAAAGGCATCCTTTACATCCTGAGTGACTGCAATCACAAAGGCAGGGAGCTATCAGAAATCAGCAGCACATGTTCTAATAAATTTCTGTAAAAGTACTATTGGGATTGTTGTTGCTGAACAACAACTTAAAAAAAAAAAATCCACTCATAACCTCCAGTTTTCATTCTTTTTATGCTAGAAGCTCCTGAGACTTTTTTAAGATGTCCTTAACCATAATGGAAAAAATGACCAAAGCTATATCATTTAATTACGGAAAAACAAAAAGCTTGGTTCAGCTTTAATACAAAGTGACAAGCTTATCAGTGTTCACTTTGAAAGAATCAAGACAAATTTTTAAGTGGAAAGGTGAAACAGGCTCAAAGCATTATAATTTAGGATAAGGTTTGTCTTATCAAAGTTGGACTGGATTCAAAATCTCTCAAAGCTGTCACTTGAGTAAACTGATGGTAAAATCAGTTTGCTCAAGCTTTGAGAGTCAATTTCTGGAATTAAAAAAAAAACAACACCTAAAATGTCCTACAGAGATGGGCAATTGAGACATTATTTTCTGTCTGGTGTTTGTCAATCTGCAGACTGTATTTGAGGAGCAATGAGGCTCAAAATGTTTTAGATGAGAAGCATCTCTCCTTTCTCCAGTTATTCAGAATTTGAGCTTCATACTCGAATGAGCTCTGAAAGATATACTTCTGAGAACAACTTACAAGAGAAAATCCCATCATGTTTGAAACTTAATCATTTAACAATAAAGGTGGAATTTGAAGTATGGGTCAAATAGAAAAGATACATAAAAAAGGCAGATTTAAGGTATCTGGGCAGATTTACCGAGAAGAAAAACTTTCTAATAGAGGAAATTTATAAAGACCTGCTTAGGCAGGTGATAAAATCTCTACAGTTGAAATCTTTTTAAAGAAAAGAGTAAGCAAACATCTGACAGGAACGACGTAGATGAGGCTGACTGTGAAACAGTGCAGTGCAACTTCATAAAGGAACCAACATATCGAAAGAAGTTTGGGATTCTTGCTGGCACTTTCTCTGCTGGATGCCAAACTCTTTGGAGCACAGAGCGCTTCCAGGAACTGTGGGAGCAACAAATGCTTTGAGGATAATTTAAATTTGACATTTTGCTTGTAATGAAATTTAGTTTTATAGCATGACACTCTTCCAAGAAACAGAATTCCTTCTCTGCAAGTCTAACAATCTAACCGTGCCAGGCCTAGAACCACTATTAATTTTAGAAAGTCTCTAGAGAACATACTGTAAAGTGAGAAGAAAAATATGGTAATCAATTATTAAGTTATTTCAGGAGCACAAAAAGAGGCAATCTTTAGAAAGTTTCTTCACAGAAAGCAAGGCCTACATTGCAGAGACTGTTTTTTATGTTTTCTTTTTCAAAGCAAGCCCAAACCTCGAGCACCAGTTTCCATACTGCTCAGCCTGGGACACACACTTGGAAGCCAGCATTTCATAGTGATCCATCACTTAACCTACTGGCATTTGTCACATGTTCTGAGGTTTCTGAAAAGCTTTTACTGGGAGAATTTAATAGTAACACTTGTGCACCATATGTCACTCAATTCTAGGTTAAAGTACAATTTTATCATCATTTCAGTGACTTCTGTGAAGACTGAAAAATCAAAGCACATGAAATGAGAGTTAGTGTCAACATCTTACATCTCTGGTTAAAAGAATATTGCTTCACCCACAGCTTCTTTAGTATTAGCAAATAGGCTTTTATTCATATTTCTCCAAAAAGTTTTGGTTTTTTATGAATCGACTTTAATTTTTGTTTAAATTCCAGACTCAAAGGAAGATCGGACAGAATATTGCATTTCATTATATCTGTTTATTAAAGTCACCCTCTGCCAGGATCTGATAAAACAAAAAGTTAACAACTAAAACTGTCTAAAAACTTTATTGACAGAATTCATCAAAATAATTCCTTCTAAGACCTGAAACACCATTTTAAGAATGTTCCCCCCAAAATAGAGAAAAAAAAGTATTCTGACTGAACACTGAACCATAATTGTGCATACTCACATCTTTGACTTTCTGCTGCATTAATAATAGAGTATATTAGTTTTGAAATATCTGAAGTGAATGGCTCATTAATTTTTCACCTTAAGCTTAATAGAAATTTGACAAACAGTTTTATGCTGAGAATAGACACTGCAAGCAGGACCAGGACTTCACAGCACATGATGGGAATAAATTAGAGCATAAAAGACAGAATAACGTGCATTTGGTCAAATAAGATGGTTCTGTCATTCAATTGCCTGAAGTGAAGCCAGTTAAATGCATTTCCATGAAAGAGGCATTTTTCCATTTAAGCGTTCCCAGCATAAATGCCTTTGTCAGCAACTGATCTTGTATTTAACATGACAAAAACAAAGATGTATAAACTGACATGCCATAGACATTTATATTATTTGTGCTTTGAACTCGTACACAGCTTCCCCCCAACTTTGCTGATAACATTCAACAGCTGTTATCTTCCACTGGTTCTCGTGCAGTTAGGCACAACGATTTATTATTCACTGCAAAATCAGTTTGTCTGTGGTTTTTCTGATTTACATCTATCCAGACAAAGGGACTGGGCTGTGTCTACCACAGGGACACTCCACCAGCTGGTGGGTGGCTCCAGGTACTAAACTCACATCACTACTGGTAATCATAATAATTTTGCCCTGCAGTAGCTACTTGATGAAATCTTCAGCTACAGTTGCCTACAATACTGTCCATGAGCAGCATTTTTAAGACAGACATAACTCTTCTAACTCAAAAAGAAGCCTTCAATTAAGCCTTCACATCCCATTTAATCTCTGATATAAAATGTATCCATCAGCCACACCTCACAAAGCCACTGACATTTTTTTTTTCCTTCCTAAATTTTCTCTTTGAACTAAGGAAGGAAAATAAACTGATTCTGGCTGTTCCTTCTTGCTGTAAATGGATACAGGTAAAATATTGACCCAGAAAACCTGATGCTGTTCTGCAAGCACTTACGAACAGGAAATTCTGGGAAAGCTCCCCTCCTGCCCCCACCTGCTCAGTGTTTGGACTTCAAAAGTTAGCTAAATAGTTTTCTGCATATGAAGACAAATAGAGGCCTCTTCCACCAACAAAAATGGTGCTGGACACCCCGTGGTGTTTAAAATGGCAGTAAGAACAGATTTTATTAATGGGAAGGAGAAGACCGTCACTTCGGACTTGGGGAATATCTTGAGATGTAGAAGCTAAAAAATGCCAGCAAGAATAAGGAAAAAGTAACTGATACAGAAAAATGTTATTCAAGAGAAGAGCAGAACCTGGAACAAATGCCTATAGAGCAGAACTGGTAACAAGAGTTTCCTGCTATGTCTTTATTCAGTTCTCTATGAATTATCCACCAGAATTACAGTGTGGAACATATGTCAGTTCTGAAGTACTTTGCTTCACTAGCCACTGGTAGAAGCACAGAGAAAGAGCAAAACACTTTCTCCTCTTTTGTGAAAAAAAGAAAATAGAAAGACATTGAAATTCTGCAACCAGGGATTTTAACAACAGCCACGAGGAAGGGCTTTCAAAGCAGCTTTGCAGGCAGCGAAGCACGAGATGATGAACTGCTCT